AGAAAGACATTTTAGATTTGCTACTTATTTAACAAACATTTATGGAACAGCTGTAAGCCATCAGCCCTAAGGGATGCGATGGAAAGCTGGCTCTATGGGAGGCTGAGGCGGGAGGATTGCTTGAGCTCAGGGGTTCGAGACCAGCCTGAGCAAGAGCGAGACCCCATCTCTATTTATATAAATTAAAAAAAAAAAAAAGAATTCAACAAGGCATAGGTAGGATTTGATTCCTGCTCTGAGCAAGTACACTGTGATGTTGGTGTTCATGTAATGTATGTGTTGAAGATGATTATGACAAAGTGCTCCTATGTATGAGTAGAAAAATAAAAGTAGAGATGTACACAGTTATTCTTAGAAAGAAACTGTCATTTGTGTTATTTGTGTTATTCATTCTTATGTTGATGGTGTAGATAGAGAACTGTGAAGGCCACCTGGGAGTCCTTCTAAAGAAAGTAGTTTGAGTATTGGGAAGGAGCAAAGTAATTTAATTTGCCTCTACCGTTACTCTAAGTCCCTATTGGTCCTGATTTCAATTTTTCATCTCAATTAAATTATATTTAATATGGGAAGGGTTTTTCTCCTACCTGTGCCTTTATAAATTATCTAAGTATTAGATCCTTTGGACAAAGATGATACAACATATCCTTTAGAGCTAAGACTATGTATAGTTCCATTTTCACAAGAGGAATAAATGTAAACACCAGGTGTTTGTGGATGGTCAACCATGGAGTACTAATGAGGCAGAAAACCCTTTCATATTTTAAAAAATCTGGCAAGCTTATGATATTGCCCACTAAAGCCATCTGCCTTAGACAGCTGTGTCTGACTACAGCTTATGATAGCTCAGGCCTCTCTTTCCCCAAGACAGAATTGCTATATGGGTTAGTAACATAGATTTAAGATTTTATGTTTCATGCAGCAGGTGGACTCACAGTGTAGAAGAAATATCATGGTAGTGGAGCTGAGCATGATGAATTCTTCACTAGAACAAGAATGATATGCACTGTTGAGAAAATTGATTGACTAAGTTCGTACGTGACTGTGCAAGCCTAGCAAAGTATGGGTGAGAGCAATCCCTCCCTACCTGTGGTTTTAAAACAATAGATGCTTCTCCAGTCATTCTCTCTCCTCTCACCCTGCTTTATTTTTCTTCATAGATCCTTGTATGGTGTTATATTAATTACTGATTTGTTTATTGTCTGTCTCAACCACTAGAAGGCAAACTCTTCAAGAGCAGGAGATTTTTCACTGCTTTCTTCACCTGTGCCTGGTGTGTAGCAGTTGCTCAATAATCAGTAATATCGAATGAATGCATGCTATTTTATAATTTTATAGGCAAGGTATAGTTTAATCTTCCTAGAGAAAAGAAACTTGATGATTGTGTCCTCTTCTATATACCATGTTGGGATAATGCAGGGAGAAATCTAACTGTATTCCTTCCTTTCATTAAATAAAGTGAAGGCTAGACCCTGAAAAACATGCTCTTAAATATCATGATAATTACAGGAGTTGGGTATACACAAGCATTTTCCTAAGACTTGTGGTAAAATGAAGCAAGAGCGAATACAAGTGAAAAAGACATGTCACGGTTTATGTTCTCTGGAAGCAGACACTGAGACAGTTTGGAGTACAAGATGTTTATTAGAAATAGACATGTTTAAAAGGAAGAGGGGAGGAGGGACGGAGCAGAGGGAGAAGTCTTGCTGCAATGCAGGCCTGACAAAGAGTTGGCCAACCTGGTGAGGAGCTCTGGAGCAAGTGGTTGGTTCAGTCCCTGGAGGAAGGCTATCCTGGAAAGGACGTACTCCCAGGTGAGGTGGTTCTCTGTAGGTGAGACAGATCCAGAGAGCTAACAGCAGGAGACCATCTGCTGGCCACATTTCCTGCAGTTGGGCAGCAAATTCTCCCTTGAAACAGGACTCAGTGACTCATCTTCCTGACTACCAAAACATAGTTGAAGCCTGTAACTGCTAATCTGAAGAATTTATAAAGAAATACTGTCTTCCCATTGGCTAAATTTTAAATGTCGCCTAAGCAGATCATAACACAACAACAGACTCATGAACACTGAAAAAGACATGTACTAAGAGAAGGGTTCCTCCTATTGATAATGTTTACAGTGATGAAATTGGTTAGTTTTGGAAGCAGGTGCTTTTCAGAATATTTATTTGAGATTTAAAAAATATTTTAAAGCCATCCTTACTGTGTGATTTCCCGCTCCACTTCCCTGACACCAATTGTGATTTTGCCAGACATAATACTTTTCAGGAAACCAACTATAATTAGTGAGGGATTGCTTTATCTTTCAAAATTTCATTTGTAAGTTAATTATTTTAATTTTGAGAAAGCTTTTCTTAGAAAGAAAGCATTATGGATGAATATCAGGCTTCAAGGCTAGTCCACGGAGTTCCAGATTCTCTAAATCCCTCTGATTCCTGAGCATTCTTGGAATCTTAAACGTAGCCAGAGCTACCCTGAGAGTAGCTGTGGAAGAGGACACTGGTGTTGAATTAAGGCTCTGACAGTTGGGCTGGGCCTTTGATGATTAGGAGCATTGTAAAATGTTCAGAGCTGGCGGGGTGGGAGCAGGGAAAGAAGGCTCTGCTGTCAAGGTGTGCTGGTCATTTCTAAGTTGAGTATGTCCATTGGGGACGTGCTGCATGTACATGGTGGCTACTCTATGATTATGAGTGGTTTCTGTAGCTCCTTTCTCCATTGTGAAACTCAACAAAATCATGGCAACAATGTTCTGGCAGCAAAATGCAAATGTGTCATTCTGCTCCCCCATTGAAAAAAAGATGAGAGGGTGCTATGCAGTCTCTGAATTCTATTTTTAAATGCCCATCACTTCATTTCAAAACATTTTTTTCAAACATGCCATAGATACTATTCTTCTTTGAGATGCTAAATGTGAGGTTTTAGAAACCAAATCCTGAGTTATACAGCATAAAACCAAGTATCTCAAAAGGTTTAAACACAATTGGTTTTTAATTACTTAGCAAAAAAATTCATTGTACCAAGAATGGGGATTTTTTTAGCTTAAAAAGCAAAAGCTGAAAGCAAGTAAAAATACGGGCTTAGAATAAAAATGTCATTTCAGTTTTAGTTTAGGGTTTCATCTAGGCAATACATCTGTAGTATTGTAATCAAAGAGGGGAAGAAGAGGGATCGACTTTGGTTAATATCTTAAATACTTTAAATTTTCTTCATTTGACATATGGTTTACACTTTTCTTCTAGGAAAAACCTCCTTTCTGAGAAACACAGGGGGAAGAAACTGTTCTACAAATAGTTTGCCCCATAGATTACCATTGATTTTCATTCCTGCTTGAGGAAAATGTTTTTCTTCACCTTTCCTAAAACCATTTTTGTGTTGGGCCACTTATCTGTGTATGAGAGAAGCCTATGGTTGGTATTTCACAGGAGAAATGATTAAAATGCCACATGTTTGAGAGTGATGGAATAATTATGACTGAGTAAATGGTTTTATTTCTCTGGTAACTAACCCTCACCACCCCCATCAATTTTACATCTGGAGGTGATTAGGAAATGTGGGCTAGAGAAAAACGCTCTGCTTCTCACTGCTCAACAGAAGCTCAAACAGCAGTTCTTGCTGGGTGTAAAAGACAGAATTTTGCTTGATCTTTAGTGTAGCTTTTGGATCCACACTTGAAATATGAGAGATCCTTATTTTCATCCTGGTTTCATTGTGTGCCTAGCAAGAAGGAGGAAGCAAGAACCGTTCAAAGTCCTTTCCAGATCTAGGTTCATACCTTCAAGGTAGATTCTATGGCAGAAATAGCAGCCTTAGCTAAAATCCTGACTGTGTGGCACTAGCCACATGGCCATAGCATGTTAATTAACCTCTGTGACTCTGCTTTCTTATCTGCAAACTGGGACACAAATAATTCTTCCCAGTCTTGTTTTGAAATTATTGTAACCTAACTTGTGGGCAGCACCCGATGTGGTGGTGGCATGGAGCCTGCACTTGATATATTTCTTATTTTGTGTAAGTTTTCACCTTTCCTAGAGACTGGAATTGCCAACATTCTTTTGTGCCATAGGAGAATAGGAAAAGCCCCAATCCCTCAATACAAATAAGTCCCTGGGTTGTCATGAGTATTTTTGAGTGAGAAGCTTACATAGGATATAAGTTATCAAGAACCTTGCATTTCGATGTAAATTAGGAAGGCCTGGTGATGTCATGGATTTATTTTCATAATCTGTCACATGGATTATTATTGAAGGCCCACTAGACTAAATTTGCTGTCACACAGTTTATTTGGGATTCTAGACCCATCCTCTTAACATTGACTCCATACTGTTGTGACTCTTAAAGACAACTTATTAATAGTTCCCCATTCCTTGAGTTTTGGGACTATTTAATCTTGACAGTTAATTGGACTTTTATCTCAGTAGGTATATGAATTGAGCTCTTCAAATGAATTTGGGCACTGATACATACGTGAGGTTGCCATCTCAACCATATATATAAAATATATACATTTATAGACCATAGTCTTTCTTGAGATGCTTAACCATTCTATTAATACTATCTGGGAGAAGGAGAGATTACCTCTTGGAACAGGATTCTGAATAGGCTATTAACATTTTGCGTTTGCTTCTTGAACTGACATGGATGTTGTACCAGACAATTTGAGCCCAAGGTTACTTTACAGGTTGGTTTAGACTGTTATCTTCAGTTCTTCCTTTGGCAGTCTTGGGATACGTTTTCATCTCATCAGTTTCTCCTTTTACCAAAGACCAATTATTACTCTCATTAACTGGCCTCAAACTCTTCCTAATAGACTGTAAACTCTTTGCAGGCAGGGATTAAATCCTTTTATATTTCCACACTGAGCATGGTGCCTGGATTCTTACCTTGAATGTTGTACGAGCTTAACAAATGGTTTACTGGTTGAATTAATGAATTATAAATAAGACTTCTAGAAAACTTGTGTCTTATTGAGTTTCTAATTGTTTCTTCAGCAGCAGTGACTGGAAAATGCAATTTCCCAAGAGCTATGCTTTATCTTAGTTCTAATGTTTCGGAGAGGGACTTCATCATAATGATGTAAAATTTGAAGCAGAAACAGCAGTTTATTTCTCTTTACAAATAGCCCCACATAAAATACCATTTGTTTAATGGAGAAACAAAAGGTTTTCTCAAAGCAAACTCAGGCACAGTATAGAGTTTTAAAATGATTTATACTTCACATATAGAGCTTGCTCAGCTAATGTATCCAGTTATTAGGGCATTAAGAAATTTTGAGTGAGGAATGAGGTTATGAAATTGATGTGCAAACATGGAAGTAGAAAGAAACTGTAGTTGAATAAGTTAATGCTGGTCTGCCAAACCTAAAGTTCCCTTTTTACCCTTTCTTCATTTAGTAACTAGGCCATTTCCCCCAGTATATTAATTATGGCCTAGGAGTGAGTAAAAATTTTTGAGCTCCTACATTAAATCATTTTAGGACATTGTGAGTAGGAGTTAGCAAATCATTGCCTAAAGGAACCAAATAATAAGCTAGTAACAGTAAACGTAACTTACCGAAGGGCTCAGTATAAAGACAAATAGCTCATGCAATGGGATCTCTAAATGCAGTGTTTGATCTTCATATACCTGCTAACTCAGATTCTGAGTCTAATTCAGACAGGGCCACTGCAAAACCATTTGTCTCTGGGAAAATTAGAGAAACATGCCCTTCCTTGAGTAAAAATTTTAAGTACGTTATTCACAATTTGCACAATCCTACATTGAGACCTGAAGAAAGTGGGAATGTGGATGGGCATCCCTTTCTGGCCTTGTTTGGTGATCCTGGACTTCACCCTCTTGTAAGGAGGGGCAGAGGGAGGGGTGGAAATGAGGGGATGAGGTTGGAGAGCACTGGCTCTGGGATTGAATCAACAGCAGCCAGCTTCAACTTGCCCAAACAGTGGCTCCATAAATCAAATTTATTTTTAAATCAATGACCAGTGTGTCTACAATCTACTAAGAATCATGCAAAACTGCTGCTGAAAGGACATGCCCTCTTGGTTCAGCCTGATTCTGTGGGACTGAGATGTGGGGCCCATAACCCTGGCAGGAGCAAGCCTGTGTGTATAGCCACACACATGCTCCAAATGTCAGGGCTCACATTAGCACAGCAGGGCTTACATCCTACCTGGCCCCACTGGTCTGCCTTGTTTGGTATAGAAAATTAACTAGTCAGAATCAGGCCTCCTAGACCCTAGGACAGGTACCCAGATGTGCCAGTGAAGGCACACACGCCGGGCTCTTCTAAGCACAAGCATGTTATTGATGCCAATGTGAATTTGCATGGCAGAGAACCTTCTCCATTGCTTTAGGTTTCAACACAGAGACTTTTGTCCCTTTTCTTGCCATCGCATATTCTCATATAACTTCATCCGTGTCTACTTTGTGAATGCTGCACCCTCCTCCCCAGCTATGCTATTCTTGCACTACACTGGATTCAATTCGTATAGAAGTATATATAGCATTCTATTAGGTACTCAAAATAATACAATGTTTCTATATTTAAATGAGAGCTTTCATGTCTAAAATAGAATCTTGAGCTTTTTTCACTTAGATTTTCCACATTTTATTTAATGCTTATACTTTTTTATACTTCTGTTTTTTTAAATGCAATGTTTAACTAAATAAAATCCAAACCACATTTTATAAAGCATAAAAACTTATATTAGTTATCCATACTCAAATAGTGAGGTTAGAAATACATAGTCCACTGAATTTCTGGACAAAAAGCAATACATGCTTTTTTAAGGCTCTTACTACTATGAGCTAGGAGGTGGGAGAGGCTTTGTCATGTTAGCACTGCCCTAGAGTCTCAGTTGGGAGCGAGTTCAAAGCCCCTAAAGCCCTCAAGCTCCCACAAAAAATACAAACCCCAACATAAGGTTAGTCTACTTAGTCTTAGACTAGTTGGAAAGACAAAGCTAATGAGCTTTCATTTAAGAAATACCTTTTAGTGACATAAACTCACATTAACAATGTGAACCTCACCATGAGATTATTTACCCAGTCTTCTATTTTTAAGTTTGTATTATGGAACATTTCAAATATATACAAAATTAGAAAAAGATAACCCTTACACAACATTACCCACTTTTAACAATTATTAATATTTTGTCAATGATGTTTTAGCTGAAGCCACCCCCTTTTGTTCTTTGCCTCATGGTGTTTTAAAGTAAATTTTAGATCCTATCAATTTGCTTGTAAATATTTCAGCATTGCTTTCTAACTTACAAGGCCTTTTTAAACATAACCACCATGCTAGATCATACCCACAAAATTAATAATAATTTCTTAATATCACCCAACACTTCCTATATTGAAATTTTCCTGATTGTCTCAAAAATATCTTTTTATAGATTATTCAAATTAGAATCCATATAAGGTTCATGTATTGTATTTAGCTGTTTATGTCTCTTTGGTTTCTTTTTTCCTATCTAAATGCTTATATTTTTTACTTTAGATGTGCTTATAATTTATGAAGGGAGTTTAAAGAGAAAAATTGCTACCAAAATTAATGTTTTAGATTTTATCTTTAAATCATTAATTTGTACGTTCTTTACATTTTCAAATCCAATATACTTAATGATGAAATGTGAAGGGCTGGGAGAAAATAAAAAGGATTTTTTGTGTGTGTGAGATTCAAAAACAGTCATGAATAGATTTGATTATTCAAGGGCAGAAGTCGAATGCAGAACTTTGCCTCCACCCCCATTCAAGTTCAAGTATGTCTATATTAAATCACATTTTTGAGGACATTATGGTTTGACTTAACTAAATTATCACTTTAATTATGAATACAAAATGTATAAATAATGAATCCTTTGCTTCTAGGATTTTATATTCTTTGTCTTTCAGATTTTGTATTTCAGTGTAATAATTTCAAACTAAAACAATGTTTTTTTTTAATCGGAAATGAATGAGTGATCATATTTCTTCTATTGTTACCAATTAACATACATAAATGGCTTATCCACTTGATAGTATTACCATTGAGTTCAGTATGATATCGCAAAAACTTTTTCTTTGTAAAAACAGTTGAATCATATATTTGCTTCTTCTTTAATACTTATTTTGCTATTCTACCAGGTTGGTGCATTATTTTCTTTCAACATTGGTAGGAGAAGAGAAAAAAAATTTCTTCTTCCACTATAATTTTAACACTACCAATCCTTGATTTAAATTGTGCAATGCTGCTAAAATGCCTCAAAATTTTACCATTTCTTTTTATAAACTCTCAATCTTGTGAAATCTTTCCTTTCTTAGGATATGAACGAGTCTGCCAAACAAGAAGATATTTTGGAATCCACAACAGATGCTGCAGAATGGAGTCTAGAAGTAGAACGTGTACTACCACAACTGAAAGTCACGATTAGGACTGACAATAAGGTATTGAAGAGAGAACACATTTTCTTCCAGAATTTTTTTATAAGGCAATTTTAGGGTTAGGGGTACTCCCAATTATGCAAATGATTATGGACAGAAGGATTCAGTTTTTAGCATTTTGTCTTACTAGGACTTTAACAAATCATTGAATAAACAAATAATGTAATATGGCCCAAAAAGCAAAGAAAAGATTTTTAAAAGAGTGGTTTGGAACGTATCATGTTTCCCTGGGATTGAAAAGTATTTTCTGAATACATTTCAATGTATTTTCTTGGAAATCATATTTTGTTTAGGTAAATAGAAATTCCATGACTATACCAACTGATAAGAGTTAGAAGGATGGTTCAGATCTCTGCTGGATGGCAAAACAGAAGGCAGCCTGGAAGTAGTCCTAGATAATCTATTCAATACACATGAGTAAAAGTTAAATATTAAGAAAATAATCAAGAAATCATATATAATAAGATATAGGGATTATACCAGATGAATTGGCCAATGCATCAAGTTTCCACTTCCTTTTTATCCACAATTTTAGAAGTACAGTTGACCCTTGAACCACACAGGTTCGAATTGCACATGTACACTTATACGTGGATTTTTTCAATAAAAGCTACATGGAATGTGCCGGCCTCTCCTGTCTCCCCTTCCATGTCATCCACTTCTGCCTCTGCCACCTGCAGACAGAAAGACAAACCCATCTTTTCCCTTCCTTCTTCTTCTCAGCCTACTCAATGTGAAGATGATGAGGATGAAGACCTTTATGATGATTCACTTCTACTTAAAGAATAGTAAATATATTTTCTCTTCTTTATGATTTTCTTAATAACATTTTCTTTTCTCTAGCTTACTTTATTATAAGAATATAGTATTTAATACATA